ATATCACTGTTGCAATGATTTGTTCCTGAAAAAGAATGTAGGGCAGAGCTGGATGTTGTCTGCACTGAATACCACTGAGCAGCATTAACATGCCTAGCTACATGTTCACAACACTGACATCAGGTTTTACAGACTCCTCCAGATTCTTCTAAAATTTTGAACACACTCCTCCAGATTTCAATTATGCTGTTTTTTTACAGCAACTTTTGTGAAATAGGTCTAGTTTAAAATTGTGGGGCCCACGGACTGGTACGTTAAAGAATGCTAAGGATCTATGCAAGGGGAATTAGGTGCCTTCAGGGTGGGGTTCGTGTCACCGTATAGTCAGATCTGTTTAGCCGGCCTCAATGCCGGCTTCCCGGCCAATCAGCATCCAGCCGGCCAAACAGAATGGATTCGGCTTCCCGGGCAATCAAGAAGCCTTCCTGGCTTCCTGATTGCCCGGGAAGACAGCTCTATGCTACCGGAAGTACCGGTATCGGTACTCGGTATCTACGAGTACCGAAATATAAGTATCGGTACTCGATACCGAAAAACTTTTTTTACATTATGTTATAATACAATTAATATTGCTCAATTTTTTGGTAAAATATAAAAGACGGGGTCACGTCAGGTAAATAGACACCAAACATGTCAAGCTTTAACATTGCGCGCACCCGCGAAATCACACAAAACTGCAATACCCACAATTGGCCTTAGGCGACACTTTAAAAGCTTTTACCGCTCATCAGTTTAGTGTTATCAGTGATTGATGGCCCTAGAATTATTGCTCTCACTCTGACGTTCGAGGCGATATGCAACATATGCGGCATAATGGGCGCAATCGTCGTTTGCGCACCCGACGCATGTTTGCATGCGTGTATGTATGGGTGGGGACTTTGAAAAAAATGTGTTTTTTTTAAATTATTTTTTGCAACTTTTTTTTCCTATTTTTTTTTCACTTAACTTTATTGTTATCACATAGGCTAAGAAACCCCCTTATGTGATAGCAAAGAGGATGTGACAGATCCTCTTTATGGAGACATCAGGGGCCTAGGTGACATTAGGGTCCAAGACCCCTAATGTCACCTAGGGACCCTCAAAGAAGCTGATGAAGCAGAGATCTGCTTCATCAGCTTCTCTCCAGCTTCTGAAGCTGTAGAGTGACAGCAGAATGCGGAAGTGATGTAATATACATCACTTCCGCAATCTGACACCAGAGAGGGGACCAGAGGGAGATCGTGTACCAATCTCCCTCTGATCCCCGGTCACAGAGCCACCATGCTGGTCCCGGGCTTGGAGCTCGGGATCAGCGGGAGGGGGACCGCGGAAAGGGGGCGAACAGAACGGCACGTTATTCAAGCGATCCGCCGGCTCTATAGCCGGTGGATCGCCTATACGTAAACAGGCATCGCTGCCTGTTTTTCAATTTTGGCAGTTTCCCACGTGCGGGTGGGCGTGGCTGACAGGACGTTTAAATATGCCCGCTCATATCTCCCGGCCGGCCGTTTTTGCACAATGGCCGGCCGGGAGGTCGTTAAGGAGTGTTAGGGAGAAAAGCTATTAATAAAATAACATCAGCTGCCGATCTCAGTGTTTACAATTTGGTAATAACCAACTCAATGTATCCTTTACTCCACCTGCTGGAACGCTGCATGGACAAGGTAACAGGTCATAGGTAGGCTTATGTCTTTAAAGCTAAGCTTGTATGAAAATGCAAGGTCTTTTTCTCCTCTTGTAGCCCCCTTTTGTAAAAATGTAAGTGCAAGAAAAAGGATTGAAACATTAGAACAAAAATGTAGAAGTAACTCATCTTCCCACTGTCATCTGGCCATTTATAGCAGCAGAAATGGCCTTCTCCAGGGATCCTGGGAATGATTAGGAACCCAGATCTCTTGAGAGCAATGTGCTAGAGCAGAAGTGCCCATTAGGTCGATCGCGATTTATCAGTCAGTCAATCACAAAGCGAACACTGGTAGATTGCGATCGGCTCACTGACCTGTGTCCTGTCCTCCCGCAGTGCTCGTGTGGGTGAAAGTATCAGACGCTGCAGATGGAAAAGGCCGAGACACCTCTCTTCATGTGCAACGTCGGCCACATGAGCACCGCGGGAGGACAGGATGCTGGCGCACAATAAGAGACCTGGGAAGCTGCTGCAGTGGAGGTAAGAAAAGAAAGACAGCAGAGAAAGTGAGAGAAGAGAGGCAGCAGAGAGAGAGAAGAGAGGCAGGAGAGAGAGAGAGAAGAGAGGCAGCAGAGAGAGAGAGAGCAGGGGCAGCAGAGAGAGAGAGAAAAGAGGCAGGAGAGAGACAGCAGAGAGAGAGAGGAGAGGCAGCAGAGGAGAGAGAGAAGAGAGACAGCAGAGAGAGAGAGAGAGCGAGAAGAGAGACAGCAGAGAGAGAGAGAGAGAAGAGAGACAGCAGAGAGAGAGAGAGAGAAGAGACAGCAGATAGAAACAGAGGAGAGCGCGAGGAGAGAGAGACAGCCGAGAGAGGGCCGGTTCACACCACAAAGTCTGCGTTTCAGAGTGTTTGGCCTCTAGAACGCACTGGAATGTGTTCAGGGGCGGGAGGTTGCGTGGAGGTTCATTGAAGTAAATGGTACCGCAGCCACGCCCCCTCCTGCAGTGCAATCACCAGCACCCAGAACGCAGGGACATTAGTGCCTGCGTTCCAGTCCAGTGTGATCTGCAAAAATAGTGCTTGCAGATCTCATTGAGCTCGTCATTTGAAAAGTAGATCTCCAGACGAAACATTGTGGGCGCCCCTGTGCTAGAGAGATCTTGGGCCAGATGAAACCTGAGCTCCACAGCTTTCCCAGGATTATGGGATAAGCCCAGTGGCATCACCTACCTACAAGACGTTTCTGGAATCCAGGATCTAAGGTGAGCATTTTTACTTTTTTTTTTTTTCACCACGCATTTTTTTATTATAGGGTTGCAGCAGCATCAACATGAAAAAAAAATCAGACCTATCATTTTTATGGGAATTTAATAAACATTATCTTACTGCTATACTTAAAACGTCTGTAGTATTCGTAATGTGTCTCAATTTACTGATGGATTGAGAAAGGCTTATGTACTATTATATGCCTGCCAAAGGCTTGGAACCTAAAGGACTGTTAGTACACTTTACTGTCAAACTGAGAAAGGCTAATGTAGTATTGTACAGGTGCCAAAAGCATGAAACTACATGTCTTTATTTAAAGTGTATTTCAAGATACTAGTTTATTTCTATTCAATTCCTTTATATATGGATATTGTAGTACTGATCCTATTATCTGGATTATGTTATAGCACCAAATAGAATGACTTATTACCTTACCAACTGCAAACATCAAGACGGGACAATTTATCTGGTTGTGATGTTAACAAAACTGTATATACAGGCAGTCCACGAGTTATGAACAAGATAGGGACTGTAGGTTTGTTCTTAAGTTGAATTTGCAGGTAAGTCAGAACAGGTAAATTTCTTAAGTAACTTCAGCCAAAATTTTATTTTTGTTGAGGTTTTGGATAGCATAGGGAAAGGTTAAACCCCTGTAAAGTTTGTTTTGCGTTGTGTGACCCTGTTCAGAAGATTTCACCTCACTTTCTGTCCCTGTGACAATTGGATTTTGACAATTTTGGATTGTCGTGGAAACAAGGATTGATGCTAAAGCTTCAGTGGAGACACCTTTTTCCCATGACTCTCTTACAGGAGTGAATTTCCCATCCTAGGCTAGATTTCCTTTCACTTCCTGTTGTCTCAAGGACAGGACGTGAGATTAAATCTTTCTAATGAGGATACAGACAGCAGTAAAAACCTCACAGTGACCCGGAAGAAGAGGTGGGCAGCCATCGTCTGCACGTCCAACTTCCTGTAATGTACGTACAGTACTACGAACCAGACCCAAAAAGGCAGGCACTAAAACCTCCCATGCATCTGAATAAAAAGAGTTACTGACCAACAGAAATGCAATATCAGAACTGCCAGCAGTAAAACAATTTTAAAAAAGCCTGTTTTAGATAATAAAATGGAAGGTTTACACACCACAAGGTGCTTAGACAAATTTATACTTTAAGCGCGCCTATGCTTTTTTGTGCGCACTCTCATTTCCCCCTTCCCCCATGTTTTGTACACACCTCACCACACTACTTTTAAGGAGCACACCATAGCATCCTGGTTGTTCATTGTAGATAATGTGTAGAACTCCTTTACAAATACTAAAATTAAAATCTAAAACATGTTATTTTGAAAACAAAAACCACCAAATAACCTGCTTAGTAGGAATACCCCTCGTTTCCAACACTGTATTTCCAGGACCACTACTATTGGACTCATGTTGCACTATACACATTCCTTGGGTCTCAGTGGTGGATCCAATTCAATGCAATCCATCTACATAAATACTCCATCTCCCAGCAGGTGTATATAACTGTACCACTTCTGAGAATCTGAATATAGTCTTAATTTAATTCGTAAAAACAAACATTCATTTAATTGTAATCCATTGGACATGGTGGACCTAGTGTTTCCACACATGAAATCCAGAGTGTCTCACTTTTCAAGACAAGGAAGGTCTTGCCAAATCCGCTTACAGTCATGTCAGAAGGCCTATTTTGTAGTAGTGTTTCCTTGCCACAAATAGCCAACATTAAAGGGAATTTGTAGCTAGCAGTGTAAGCACTATAGTTGCTGGTGATTTGGTGCCAAGAAAAGATTTATTGCAGCTACAGATCAAATGTGTGCTACATCAAAAGTTAGCTTTTTGCTGCTACAAATGTCTCTCCTGCAAATGTCTCTCTAATCCAGAGAGTTAAATGCAGAGCAATTGTCGCTGGCCAATGTGCCAGTGACATGAAATATTAATGACTTCTTAGCGAGAAATAGCTTTAAAAAAAAAAAAAGAAGGAAAAAAAAGGAAATGCGTTGCCTGCCTGACATTGCCTTTACTATGTCCCAATGCTTCTTAGGGTATGACATAATAAATGCACTCCATATACTGCTGTGATGTCAATGGTAATAATGAAGTATGTGTACCTGTTTTTCCTGCTCCACTTTCACCAGTGATTAATATGCATTGATCTTTATCCTGGTCCCTCAGAGAACGGTAGGCTTCATCAGAAAGGGCAAAACTGTAACAGAAAAAGATATTCTATAATTTAAAAAAACAACATTAAACCCAAAGAAGAAATATTTTAAAATGTATGGTCTGCCATTCCTTAGATGTAGTGGCTGCATCAATTTTTTCTTTTGCCTTTATTTTTATGTCAGTAACACACTTGCTGATCTAGGTGACAATGCTCACTCGCTGTACTGCAGCTATGGAGAAGTGGGGTTGTCTCCCTAGGCCAGGAAGTATGTTTGGACTACAGACCACCTTCCCCTTCTCCTTGCCTCCATAACAAAAGGCAAGGGGCTGCTCAGCTCACAAAGCTGCTAACACTGCTTTGAATGCAGTGACAGGGAGAGAGAGGGAGAGCACAGGAAGTTACAATCTTAATGATTTCTCTCAGACCCAACCAGTATTTTTTTTGTAATTATCAAATAGATAGAACATTATTTGAACGGTATGTTTAACAAAACAACCACAAAAGGAGCAAATAAGAAGGAAAAGTTCATTGTTAGGGTTTACATACAATTTAAAGGAGAACTATGAGGTGAGTGCTTTTCACTCACCTCATAGTTCTAGCCGACCTGTGACAATGAGACTGTCGCAGGTCGGCTCAGTAGATCGAGAAGTGAGCGAACACATACTGGCGTTCGCTCACTTCTTGATCCTGTCACAGCTCTCTGCCGTGACAGGGGAGGGGCTGGATTCCCCCCGCTCCGATCCACCAGCGCTGACTGGCGGATCGGACGGGGGAGGGGGCGGGTACAGCTGGCTCTGCCTCTAGATAGGCAGAGCCAGCTGTCACTCACGCAGCTGGGCGGATCCAGACATAATTGTCGGGATCCGCTTCAGCTACGGCGTCTCAGTATACCGCGAGCAGTAGCTCACGGTGTACTGTGGCGTCTCAGTACTGAGCTGAGGGTGACGGTAGGATGCTAGTTTGCGTCCTCCCGTTACCCTAAGGAGAACTATGGGGAAAAGCCTTAACCCCATAGTTCTCCTTTAATAAAAGGTGTATGGCGATTCTAATATTGAAAATATTGTATAACCCACATGTGTTGCCTTGTTCACCAGGAGCCTGTTAAATTAAGCCAAATATAGTGCCCATCCCCTTTTTTTACATACAAAAGCATCCATATAGATAGTTTGGGGTTTAAGAAGGCACACATATTTAACAACATCTAAAATATTAAAGCTTTATTGATAATACAAACCATTAAAATGTCTACTAAAGCATGTTTAAAAAAATTCAAAAAAACTGCATATTCCGCCAGTCACACCTCCCGCATCCACTGTATCTTATATCAGTTTTTTCATAGGTACATGATCCAGTATTCAGCAATAGCAACTCATGTATAGACAACTTAACATCAGTTGTTGTTAACAGTGCTATGCTTGCTCAGCAACGCGTTTCGCTAATTGAGTCTTTAGGTGAGGAGGTGACATAATTCTAATAGGGACAAACAATATGCAATTAATTTAACAATACATTACACACATATATATATATATATATAACGGTGATAAATATCCATCAGTCTTTACTATGGTCAAAAATACATTGTGCAATTACATGTAGTGCAAAGTTATGTACTTGCTGTGGGGTGTCAATATGCAGTTGTTTTATAACATGTTTTAGTAGACATTTTAATGTTTTGTATTATTAATAAAGCTTTAATATTTTAGATGTTGTTAAGCATGTGTGCAACGATCGCCTTTTGAAACACCAAACTATCTATGTGGATGCTTTTGCAAGAAAAAATTACATATCGTAGAAAGTAACTGCAATTTGTAGTCTCTAAAATATTTTTTAATTAGACATGAATTCTTGTCTCTAGACAAACAGATAAATAATAAATATATGTGATTATGTTCAACAATTCTTGTGATCTAGATATACCTGCTGGAAAATACAATAAGATCGCAGCCCTCACTTTTCTTAAGGGCCTTAATTGTCCTACAATAAGTGCCCAATCATACCATCATGTGTTACAATTACAATCTATGAAGCAATTAACATTGGTGTGTTGCGTCAGGGGCAGTGCATTGTGTTTTTGAAAAATCCTTCTTGCTGCATCTATTGTGTGTTTTGGTTAACACTTACATTATAGTCAATAATACCACATAGCAAATGCACTGAAAATTAATAACGCAATATGCATTTTACTTAGTATGTTTTTCTAGCACAGGTACAATCCATAAAATGGAGACTGAAAATGGCAAAAATGAAAAGTTTAAAAATGCATGCAATATGCATGCAAAACACATGTAAAATGCATCCTTAAAATGCATTAAGCACTTTCGCTGTCAGCACTGTCACAGGAGGCCAAGCTCTCCTCCCACACCGCTCCCTGCTCAGCCTCCTGTGACAAATCAAGATGGTGAACAGGTGTCACAGTGGTCACAGGGGGCTGAGCCGGCGGTGTGGGGGAGGAGCTCTCCTCCCCGCACTGCCCCCTCTGCATCCTGTGACAGCGAGTCAGGATGGAGAGCGGGTACAAGCAGTCAGAGATCAGTGATCACTGAATGCTTGTAAATAATTGAAGACAGAGTTTGTTTACTGTGTCCCCAATTATGAATGAATGGGAAGTGCTATACATCACAAGGATTTTAAAAAGGAAAATATCAGGGGTCTGTTTAGACCCCTGATATTGCACCAGAGCCCTCGACAGTAAAGTTAAATAAAAAATGTAAATTTAAAATATTTTTTTTTTTAAAAAGGTTAGAAAAAAATAAAATAATTCAATGTCATCCTGACTTATTTTCGGTGCACCTTTAGTTTTAAGCATTAAAATGTAGGGCTGCATCTAACAATTATTTTCCTAATCGATTAGTTGGCCAGTTGGCTAATTATTTCTTCGATTATTTATTCTATCGATTATTTATTCTATTGCCTCTGCCAGGCAATAGACTTAGGCATCCCTGGTATATGTCACAGAAAGAACTTGTGCAAGGAAAACATTACCATGGCTATTAACAAGATATTGCTAGACACACTGCACGTAAAGCTCTGCGCACTGCCGCTTCCCTTTGCTGCGCACGGCATGAAGTGTGTAAACAGGCTTCACAGGCTTAATTGTGTTGGCTGCCAAGCTGGCAACCATCTTTGTGACCATCTTAACCCCCCCTTCCTCCGCTTGTTATAATTCTGACTCCACTCACTGCACACACACAGGACACACACACACAGTGCAGCTATTCAGCCAGTTCATAGTTCACATCCGTAAACGGGCCGATCCCGGGCGGGACATGTGCTGCGTGTAATTGCATGCGCCTGTTCTTCCCTATAGGAGGACGCGGCTGTACGCTGTCATCCGCACACCCAAACTTGCACATCCGTGCGGATCCCGGTGTCCGCACACATGCAGACATGCATCCTCCTATAGGGAAGAACAGGCTGCTCTATGCAATTACACACAGCACCTGTCCCTCCCGTGATTGGCCCGCTTATGGGTGCACACGCCGCACGGATGTTTAAGTCCAGTCTGAATTAGGCCTTAAAATGATCCATGTCAATTAGGTACTCTCTATCCTTGTAAATACTCTTGTTAGCAATCTTCTAAGGTTACACACAATTCTTTTATCTATTGCTCGCAGATTTCTCAAATTCTGATGCTATGGTGTGTTATCACATTTTGGTTTTCACGGAAGGATGTTCTTGCACAATGCAAGAGCTCCAGAGAATATGAAATCTGATCTAATAAGGGTAAGAAGAGAAACAAACTTTGGTTTCAAGAGACCTCCGCTCCTAAAGGTTTTATAGAAACAAAAATTGAGGACACTAACAGGTTCCATCAGCACTACATTTTGATACTACATATGAAAAGATGCAAATTTGCCTAAATGTAAAGTGGTAGCCCAATAGAAACATACTCAAGCCTCTCCTGCAACTGAATACATAAAGGGTTTTTGAGCAATTCCAAATCATCTAATGAGATCTGTGCAGGTCAGGAAGTACCAGAATTGGCACATTCTTGATTTCAGCACCTGGCCTAACAGTTTATGGCCGATGCAAGACCTTGTCACAATGGCACAATGAACAGCAGTCATTTAACCAATGTTCTGAGGTGCCCAACTGTGACTATGCAAAGCATTAAAAATGGTTAATGAATCCAGTTCACTGACTAAAGCATACGTTCTTCTTTCTTTGGCTCACAAATTAGCACCACAAAACAGACAATACAGGTTACAAGTGGAGTCCAGTAATTTTTAGATCAGACTAGCTGTCTCAAATTCTTCACCATAAATAAAAGGAATTAATTTAACTACATCAGTCTTTATTTTACTAAATGGTCAGCTACCATGTACTTTCTTCGTTGAACCCAAATTAAGTGCTTGCAGCCTGAATGGTTGAAAATAAATATTTGATGGTCTTTTCTCTAGATTTCTCAACTGCAAGGTAAATCAATATATATTGATACTGACACCAGAAAAAATATAGGCCTCCAGTACTTGCACACACTCTCCCTTCTTCAGTTGTTTCAGGACAAGGCAAACAAATCTTGGCAAAGAGGAGACTAGGCAGCATGGGCAAAAGCAACAATAGGAATACAAAAATTACTACAGAGGACCTGACATGTCAGAATTGCACAGGAAGCCATCAACAGATTCTCACATTACCTGACATCTACTTCTTGACCTTGAGCTCTTCTTTGGTTTTAATCAGCAAAATGCCTCAACAGTTCAGCAGATAAACAATTATGAATAAAAACTGCATGCATTTACTGAGCAATCCCCTGGCTACAAGTCAAAGTCTTTTATCCACAATCATTATTCCTGCTGTAGCCTGTGAAGACAAATAAGCCATCTAGTGGAGAAAGTCAGCAGCTTGGTTGGGATTAACTGGCCTGCTATTTTGCCACAACCATGGTAACATCACTACTCTTCCTGCTCCTAATATACTTGTCGCTGCCAGCATCCCACCTGCCTATATATTTTTTCTTTATATTCAGGTACCAATTCCATAACCACCCTGCTATGTACTAAAATGGGATGCTAACATTTTAATGTAAGTACAATTAA